GATCCTTTACATTTTTGGTCGCCGTTTCCATCCTAAGTGCCGTTGCCTTTCAAGTATCAGATTTTTCTCTGCGAGGAGGTTCCGTTGAATGCGGTGGTTTCGGACGCCGCATACCAAGCGATTGCGCAACATGTTGTCTGAGATGCTTCCATAATTGCAGAACTCTGCCAGTGAGCGCAGAGCTGTTACACATTGGGCTACAGACCCACCCTCTTCTCGGTATCGGCTGTTGAACTTGAATCGCTGGACGATTTCCAATGGTACTGGATTATGGTGCTGGGTCATGCACTGTACCAGGTCACAACTTACGATTTATCGCCGGGTTTCGCAGGAGCCACGAGATTCCGAAGTAGTTTGTAGGCTTGAGGCCCGATCACAGTCAGTAGAACTGCTTGTTTCTTTGCTGCGTTAGTTACATCATTGGCTACAAAATAATGTTCCAATCTTTCAACGTACTGCAGCCATTCCTGCAGCCATTCCTCCTTCTCTTCGGTGTCCGACACACTTCCTTTGTGGAGGCCACTTGGATTTTATTAGCACGGGAAACATGAGGTCAAAAAAAACAAAATGTCAACCAATCCATCGGACTGCACAGTCCACTCGGAATACGCGATGATGAAGCTGGAGGAACTTAAGATGGAGATGGGCTGGACTTTTAATAGTCTTGTCTTGTTGAATGTGGGGATTTGTTAGCGCCCTGTTTGCTCTCTCGATCCGCTAGCAGGTCGGCAGTAACATTTCCTTTGGGTCAGAAGTCCAATAAGATCGATCTGAAATACCAATCATAAATGAATAGTGTAGCCAAAATGCAAATTCCCGCAGAATAAGCCGAATTGTTGCTGAGGCTAGCAATAACACTTGCGTCTAGTCTCTTGCAGCCGGCTAGCCACAGTCTATAGCGACTGTCGTGTGATGATTCCGGGTATGCCGTTTTCGATGGATAGCGCCATCTGTCGATACAGAACAAAGGCTGTAAGTTGCAGTGAAGACGAAGACTCGGACACATCCCAGTTTTTGTTCTCTAAAAAAGTTGCTGTTCTGTTTAAGATATACATCTAAAAAAATTAGTAGGCCTGTGCGTTCATCCTGAAACATCCCGAAAACATTTCTACTAATGTTGAACATGTTTATTTTGAAACCCGTGGTTTGTGGAATTCAAAGCAAGTACAAGAACCTGCAACTTTTTCTCGAAACTACCGCCAAGGCAAAAGCAGGATTTTACACAACAGTGACCTTTTCAGCGGGCTATCGTACATCCTTCCACGTTAGTTTACACTCCACTAACTCTTCCAATGAAACGATGCTTGTCGGAAAGTGGTTCAGAGGTGGCTTCCCACATTCATTTGAAACCATTAAAAACTAGAGACAGGATGGGATTGATATAGACAGGATGGGACATTGCAATGTTCGACTGAGTTAACCCCGTTTTAAAAAAATGTGAATGTGTATGATTCTTCCCGTTCAAAACATAAATACTAAGTTTTGTATGCATTAATTTCAATGAGATTAACATAATTTGGTGGTTTTGCTGAATTTAAAGGGCTTCTGTTTCTCGCTAAAAAGAGTAGAATTCAAACATGAGGAACCTTACTTTGAATTATTATTTTCGTTTCGTTTGTTTTTATTTCATTTTGTTTTGATTATTTTTAAGGAATGGAGCAGTTAAAATTTGCTCATTTTTAATTATTTGTTATTCTATTTCTTTGAAATTCATGCACAGGTATACATGTATGAAGTTCATCCTTCCCTCTAACTCAACTCCGTACCTTAGACCCTGAGCTACCAAACTCACTAGTTCACGTCCATTCACTACTATACGTACGTTAATCACACAAAGACGTCAACAACAACATTCTCAGAAAAAAAAAGAAAAAAAAAGATAAGATTACCGTTATTATTAGATTGTCAAGGTCAATTTACCACCAGTTTATGTAGATCGTCAGGTTGCGAGCCAAGAGGAGAGGGCGTAAACCGATGCATGTACAAACTAGGCACGAAAGGCCATGCAAACAAGCAGCTCGCTAGCTGGCTGTTGTAAAAACCGCATGCTACCACCAAACACCACTCACCCGATATCATCTCCGTATCACGCAGAACTGGCGGTCATCAACACGCGCTGTACCAGGAAAGCCAACATCGATCTCTGCCATAAATCCATTGATTGCTTTAACACTGAGCTGGTTCGACTGTTTTTATGCGATACGCCTCCAGCGAGATGGAAGGCTCCAAACCCAGTCTGAAATAATCCAGTAACGACGTTGTACCACAAGAACGAGGGCAGAGTGGATCGTGGATTACCACTTTTTTTTTTATCAGGACCAGGCCAGCAAACATTGTCCCACCTGCTGCTAGAGTGCAAGAGTAGGGACTAGTAGGGAACATATCGCAAGACTTGTGTCGTGTGCCAGGCGGTGTGTTCCTGACGTGTCAACCAGCTCAGCCATCAAACTCAAAGACTTCACAACCTGATGAATGCTCTGCCGCCAAGTGTAACTTGTATGTGTTGAGAGGAGGGGTACGGTCGCCGTCTTGCAGTGGATAAAAACAAAAGCTGAGTCGCCGCTGACGAAACGGGCATTTTGAGGGGCGGAGAGCGATATGTGACCGGGGCATGATTGGGTGTTGATTAGTGCCACGAGCGGGGACTTCCGCATTACTTGTGCCGAGTGAATGCCCGTGGACTCGGCACCGCAGTCGACATCAGCATGGCCGGAGCAGAAACCCACAAACGGGTGTTCAATGTGGGAGATGTGGAAGTGCCAGACTGGATGAGCAAAGGAAACAAGTTCATTAAATGGGAAGAGGTAAGGGTATTTATGACCGACGAATATTAAGTTTGTCAGGTATCTGAAATGAGATGTTACTGAATGCAAACTGCAGACCGCGACTGCTGCAGTGCGAGTGTATGACCACAGAGAAAGGTCCTTTCTCCATGGTATGACCATGGAGTGTGATTCTACCTCCATGGTATGACAGACTGAAAAACATCCCCTACAGTACCTCGAAAGATTTGTAAACTCCATAGAATTTATACACAACCAAGGAAGTGGCATGAGGATTCATTCATTTGCTTTTTTTCTGTTTGCAAGATTCTTCAGACACTTGGGGTGTGATATATTCATTCATTCATCCATTCATTCATTTACGGTTTATTTCTTAATACCAAATAGAAAGTCAAAAGACTAAAAATATTTGGTTTACAATATACACAATAAGAGGTTAAAATTGACATAAAAAAAATATATATTAATAACTGAATATTAAAAAATTGCACAGAGTACGATATTTAAAGAACAAATACCACAGATTAGGCGAATTAACAATAATACATACTATAAAAAAATATGCAGTAAAAGACAGAGCCAACAAATAAACGATTACACCAACATACAAACCAACCAACATAAATACATGTATATGTACCAACCAACCAACCAACTCTAGTTTCATTTAAGTAAATTTACCAAATAGAAATCTGTACATTTTTGAATGAAATCTTGATATTGGGTATTGATATTGAACAATCTACCCTTGTAACTGACTGCGCGTATGCCACGAACATGAAATGGGGGAAAGAGTGCATACATGTACTAGTATACGGACAGCACTTGAGGCCCTGTGCACAAACCTACAAGACTTGTCTAAAAAAAAGCTTTTTTTAAGTAATTGCCTCAGAATTTTCTTAGCTAAATTTTCAATTTTAGGGCATGCTATCACTTTCTGATGGCTGTCATAGCATTTTAAGGGAACATTAATGTTGTCCATACATGCAACTCTTTCCGAAATATATTTTGTTGAAACACAAATTTTCTTTGTTGTATTACACCTCAAAGTAATTTGCATATTAAAGTATCTGGAGAATACCAAAGACTACACCAAAGACAACTCTGAAACTGTTTGTTTGCCTAAAAATATATATTACGGACTTAACTTGTTAGGATTTGTAACTAAGCTGTGGCTCACTGTGTGGCAAATTCCGTTGTCATGAATTCGTTGGACATTTAGTTTAGAACTGAAGCTGAAATTGGTTTTAAACCCTGCCATTTTAACCATACATGTACATGTATGGAGGATACATTGTTCTTCTTGTACATGTAATATGACACATACTAGTACACATTCCATGATACATTGTACAGTGTTTTTTATTATTATTTTTTTTTGTACTGTGCATCAACCACTTCCAGAAAGACTAAACTCAAAACACCAGGGTTGGAACCTGACGCAAAGATAAACTCTGAGAATGCTACTTGTAATATTAACTAATATGTATGGTGTAGGTGCTGAAACTCAAAGCAATTCCTCAGTGGGCATCAGAAATATTACAACATCTTCAAATTCAGTTTTGCCTTTCAAGGATTTTTCCCATCTGAATTTGGTGTCTGCAGCATCCAGAAAAAAAAGCCCAAACGGCAGGTTTCTTGTTCTGTGAGGCTCAGGACAGAGGGGCCCCATTGCACTTGTTGCCCCATCCAAGATTGCCAGAAATGCTCTTAGATAAAGCCCTTGAAGCTTTTATCAAATCATATTCCAAGTCATTCAATATGGTCTGTGCCCCTGTCATTGTCAATGCCATTTTAATTTGAATGAATGCCAGTAGTTCAAATTGCCTTTGATAAGAGCTCTCCAGAGTTTCACCCCTATCAACCTCCAGAACTGAAAATTCAACCTGTTCAGGGACAGATTTTGTGGACAGGGCTGTGGAATTTCCAGTGTGCTCAATAATATTAAGAGGGTACAAATGATCAATGCAGCAATGAATTTTGTCATAAGCCTCAAAAAGTATGTTTTGCAAAAAACAGAAATTCAAATACTGAGTCACATACTGACATTTGTGACAAAATCATTACAAAACTGTGTGCATTGCCTAAATCTTGAATTTGAATTTTTAAGGGTTTTTGTAACTTTCCTTGAGATTGTATTGAACTTAAATCTTTTGTTTTAACTCATAAATTATTGATAATTTTTTTTTTTCAGTTTAAATGGGAGAGAACATGGTCAAAAGGTTTTTCTGTGAGGTTATTTCTGTTAATTTCCACAATTTGTGTGAAATCTTTTTGGACAGGGTGAGGCTTCAGGGAGCAAATGGATGTTCATTGGAACCTGTAATCAATCCAGAAACGTAGTTGTTTCTTGAGACCTGCATAAAATTTACATAATTATGCAAAGCATGACATTATACTGGTACTTTCTTAATATGACCAGATTTTTGGACGAACCCTTTGCATCTACACATGCACATGTATGTGTATCGTTCTTGTTCAGTGCACTGAAGGTTACAAAGCAGTTGTTTTGGGCCTCTTTCCACCCTGTGTGGTTGAATGGAAATGGCACTAAAGTTGTTCTTGTACAGATAATACAGTACATTAATCATACGTACACCTATACATGTACATGTATAACACACATGCAACATGAAGATTTAAAATCTTCACGCCTTTTGAGATGCTTTTCAAACTTTTTTCATCACGGCTGCTTTCGCTGGTAAATTGGAGGCCGTAAATTATGACAGTTAACTTGATAGATTCAGCAGTTTATCAAATTACATTGCTGGATGCTGATCCATGCGTATGCTTCCCCTGGAGAAGAATTCTGAGAGGAGTGTTGGCTTTTGTTGCAAGTTATTGTGAGGGTAATGTTGTACAGTGAAGGATACGTGCAAGGTACATGTACATGAACCGTAGCTCCAGCACTCAGTAAGTGACTGGTACTGCTTTGAACGGTACGGTACATGTAAGTTACTACAGTGCTGGATTGAATGATCTACATGTACATGTTTATATGAATACAGTGTTTACATGTACATGCAAAAGTCTGTTACAAGGTCATTGTAATATTGAAATCAGTGTCCTTTTTTTCCTTTTTACTTTGAGCACTCCTTTATTGTTGGCAGCCTTTTTTCGGCAACATTCTGCACATGCCTATCTGTACAGTGGACCTTATTCCTGAGTAAGCCATTTTTGGCTTTCCCACATAACGCGAAAGAGGCTTTGTTTTTTACTTTTTTTTTCTTCTTCTTGGTCTTCCTGCACTTTTTCTCGCCACCTCTTTGGGCATTAAACAAAGTCATAATTATGGCCTGGAAACTTTACGCACTTACATGTAAGTAACTCATAGCAAAGGTCTTTTCGGAAACATGACTTCATAATGATGTCATCACCTGATTAATTATGGAATTTAAAATATTCAATATTTTCCAATTTTTGTACACCTTTTTCATCAGCAAGACTTACGCCCTTTTTTTTGATCTGACACAATGCATATTAGGTCCACACTCAGTCCTCAGGGTAGACAGGGTCCAAGAACAAAATTGTCATTGTGACATCACAGCGTGTCATGTGACATGGCATTTAAGGTGTAAACTTCAGAGGCCTATATCTCCTGAAGTACACGTCTGATTGGGTTGAAAGTTTGCAGATATTTTGGAAGGGATGTATTCAGGGGTGCGATTTCTCAGCTTTTTAGTGGATTTCAGCTTTTTTTGTTTTGGATTTCAGCTTTCTTTCCTCATTGGCTGTGTACAAAAGTATAGGAGATTTTCACAGTTCAGCTTCTTTATGCCTTTTTTCAGCTGTTTTCAGCAATTTTTTTCATTTGTCAATCTCAGACCTGTTTATTGAAGACAAAAACGGATCACATGTGATGATGATGTCATCAGGAACCAAGTCATGTGACATTAAATGCGCAGTCTTTAATTTAAAGCCCATATCTCCTGAAGTACATGTACATATCCCATTGGGTTGAAACTTCGCAGATTGCTGGAAATGGAAAGGTTCTGGGTGCAAATTGACCTTATGTGATGATGACCTCATCGAGTGACAAGTCACATGACATTAAAAGATGCACTCTTAAATACCCTTTAGTTGGTGAAGTTCATATCCCATCAGGTTGTAATTTTGCAGATAGCTAGAAAGGAAGTGTTTTAGACAAAAATTGTTATCTTGTAATGATGACTGTATGAGTTGAAAAGTCATGTGATATTAAAGGTCTGTTCTCGAAAGCCCTATTCTCTTCTTCCTCAAAACATTCAAATGCGGAAAAGCCCTATGCTCTGTTCTCAAACAGGTGTAGACTTCTTGTCGATCTTGTTTCTCGTATTTGTGCTCTAAATCTTTAACTGTTGAATGGGATGATGTCAGCCTGTCTTAGGATTTCTGAGCGTTCCAAGTCTCCCTTTCTCTTTTTTTAATATGAATAAGACTTGTGTGCATCAGAGTGGAAATTTGTCAGGAACATTTTTTGTCTGTTTTGATGCTCTCAAGTTTCAAAAGCGAAAAGTTTACTTCACTTTCAATTTCAATTTGACTGACTTAAGAATTAGCTTTGTTCGGACAATCCCTGTAAGCAGACAGCATTAAGCCTACTGTCTACTGGTACCTCCTTATACTGCCGCCTTCTGTTTGTACTGTACATGTATGTACTATACAGGTTACGTGTCTGTATAACTTACATGTGTATTTTGATATTCTCTAGACAAGTATTTGATGAGTACCGACATTGAAAACCTCACTTTGTAAACAATACCTGAGTCACACTGCCGGAGTGTGTACACGACATGTATACAATGTTCATGCATTTGTACATGATCTTGCATTCTCATTTACACCTACATGTACGTTCCAGTAGGTGTAATGTCAGTCATTTGTTAATTACCACGTAAGAAAAAACTTATTGGGTAAAAGAACAATTCAGAAAGTGTTAAAAATCCCCAGCAGCTTTCAAGACACCAGATGAAAACACATGTACATGTATCATTACATACTAATGAAAATACAGTCCTCTTTAAAATTAATGCGACAGATGA